TAACATTAATGAACTTTAAAGAATTTTACATAATGATCGGCAACATGCATAACCGAGCACAGATTATAATCTTGCAAAACAAAGACACTAATAAATATGTACGTACGTATGTACGTACGTACATGTACTGTGCGTAGCATATAGATATGATTTTCGTTAAGCGCACATAAGAACTTACTATTTGTATCACAAAGGACAAATACAAACAATGTCAGAAAAGGAAAAATGATTGGATTTAAATTTGTTTAAATAAGGCCTTTTCTTAACGCACAGGTAAATTTAAAGTTATTCCTGAAATTTATAAAAAAACTCGAATATTTAACAGTTAAACGTATCTGAAGTTTATTAATATGTCATCTGAATTACCAAGTTTATCTTCAGGTTTTCTTCATATAGGAATCACAGTTGGAGGTTCATTGGCATCTCTCAATCCCTTAGTCGGTGCCATTTCGGAAATTCTCAATAAAATATCTCAAATCAATGAACAAGCCCAATATAATAAAAAAATTTCGAGAACTATTCTAGGTCGTTTATTACCAGTAGAAGCGGCCATAAAATTCTTATTACTTAAAAAGGAAGATTTTACCGAAAAATTGGCGGATTTAAAATATCAAGAAGCCTTACATACTCTTAAAAATGTGTTAGACAAAATAAAAGATTTTACTGAGCAAGTGACTCAGTTAAGGGGACTTGAAAAGATTATTCACGCTCAGTCTATAGAAAAGACTTATAAAGAATTGATGGAAGAGTATGAATCTTGTTTGAACGCTTTGAAGTTCACCATGATCATTGGTTTTGATGAATTAAAAAGAATTGAGAATGAATCTTTAAAAAACGATATTGCAGAAACCAGAAAGGTATTATTTAATAATTTATCTTTCTTTGTATTATATGCTTATAAACAAATAAATAAATAAATGGTTAATTAATAATAATACTATTATTATTATTTGAAATGTAGTTTTTGGAGAGTTATGCTAAAGAGCAAACGGATAATGTGAATATTGTTTACCAAGAAATTACTCAGCTTAAAAAGAAAATCGATTCGGCTGACCAAATAGATATACGAGTAATTGAACCACCTTTATTAAAAGAACTGCCATGCGGTAATGAACGTCGTGGAAAAGTCTTTAAAATGATTTATAAAGATGCCATCGATGTGGCTTGTAAACCAATTAAACAAATAAATGAAGAAGTAAAGGAATTATATAGTAAATTGGCAATCCAAAGAAAACTAATTGATTGTCCAAATGTTTTGAAATTTTATGGTACTGCTGTGGAACAAAGAATTAATGTTATGGTTTTTGAATGGGCTGAAAAAGGAAGTCTAAAAGAATTATACCAAAGTGATGAAAAACTTACATGGCCACTAAAAGCTCAAATAATTTTTGACATTTGTAAAGCAATAACATTTGTAAACCATGTTGGAATTTTTCATCATGATATTCGATGCGAAAATGTAATGGTAAGTCATTAAGTTGATCAAAAAATTTGTTCTACCATATCTTAATTAACCTCTTAATTAACCTGTTAATTTACAAAAGATGACAGCCCATTATGAACCGAAACTTACAAATTTTGATTTTGCAAGAGAAAGAAATCGGCTTAAGTCTACAGGTCTTAACTTAGATTCGATCAATTGGTTAGCACCTGAAAAAATGAAATATAATCCAAATTCTGATGATACTAAACATGATGACCCTCCATATACACCTTAATCCCTTATTTTTGTCCACTTCTACATGTGCCTTTCCATATAAATAGACATCACCTAAACTATATAATGCAGCAGCATTTCCATTCTCAGCTGCTTCACTCAAGTGATGTAAAAATTCGGTTCTATTTCCTTCTGTTCTTGGTAATGAAAAAGCATACCAAAATTGTGCATCCGGCACACCTTCTTCTGCAGCCTTTTTAAACAATTCACGAGCCTCAGTTTTATCTATTTCCTTTTGTTCTTCTGACCTTTTTGCGCCATTTGGATAATATCCCTCCCATAAATAGTAAGCTTTCCAATAAATAGCAAGGGGACTCTTAAATTTGGAATTATCTTCGAAGCATTTCCACGCCTTTTCCCTATTCTCTAGAATCCTAGTTTTGTGAAGCTTGATTCCTTCTTCAA